GGTTCGGGTCCAACATACAGACCGGTTCCCGCTCACTGGCTGAGTGAGGTGCAGGCGCGGCACCAAGGTTTGCAATCCCGTTGCCGGTCCGGTACGGGCGTGACACTGAGGGTTGCGATCCGTTGCCGGACACGAAAAAAGACAAAAAGGAAAAAAAAAAAAAAAGAATTAGAAGTGGAGGAGCCATGCACAGGAGATCACAGGGCAGTCAGAAAATGATCATGGTTGAAGTGCCTGAACATACTGGAAGGACAGGAGGAGAAAATGGGATGTTTGATTGATGATTTTGGAAGTAAAGTAGTTATAAGTGATATCTTGGTCTTGAACATGTCCCAGGCGCGGAGGCAGAAGTGGAGTGATGGGGAGCTTCATTAGAGATGAGGAGATTGAAAAATCTTAGAGGCCATGGAACTTGCTGGTTGTTAATATTGAAGACACCCAGGGTGGTGGCAGGACTGGGGGTACAGAAAAAAACTGAGCCATGTGCCAAACAGCAAGCAGGAGTGGGAGAGGATTACAGCCAAGTGGTAGGGGCCTCAGCAGGGCCAGGGTGTTTAATAGGGAATGCGGGAAGCTGGCTGGTGTGTGTTTAGTAAAACCAAAACTACACTTACTTAGAGAAATCTAAATCTGACCCTGAAAAATGGTAAGAAGATTTAAAGCAAGAGGATTATAAAAATAAATACCTGGTCTTTGTTCACAGATTTATAGCTTTTTGTGAGGATTGTTGCACCAGCTTCTCTCAGTAGCCCTCTTAAGAAAACTTAGGCCCAAAGAGAGCATATGCCTGTTAGTGACAGAATTAGGTACCAAACTCTTGCCTCCTTGACTCCACTCTGGCACTCTCTTAACTGACCCTGTTGTTTCTTATAGTTGCCTATTTGTAACGAGGTTCATTTTAGCCATCATCCAGCCATTTCTGAGTACAGAGCTTCTGTCACTTTTACCAGGGGAAAGATGTGTAGCTAAAAACTTATTGTAGTCACTCTTCACGCATGCCCAAGATAGCAGAGGATCAGTAGTAAATCATCCAGCCCCCTTTCCAAGCACCCCCCTGAGCACTTAGCTCACCCTGATATAATCAGGAAATCAGGGAACCCCTTCATCCAAAGGCTTAAGAGATGGTGGTGGGTGATTTCTCATTCAGGCTCTAATGATAAAAAGTTTTTCAAATATAGCATTAATTTTTATTCTGCTATATAATAAATGCTGTGCTCGTAATTCATTTTAAGAAAGGAAAGAAAAAGAGACTGGAAATTAGACCTATCAGTTGGAAAATGTTACTTCCCACTGATTTAAAAATACGTACAGGGGCTGGCCTGTACATGGCTTTGTAACACCAGTTACAGTTGGCTACAGCATGGCTTTGTAACACCAACGTCAAGGGTTCAGTTCCCTGTACCTGCCAGCCAGCTAAAAATAAATACAGTATTTACTCTGTGCTCAGTGTAATTATGTGAGGTTTTCTAATATCCTAATTTTACAGGTGAGCAGATTTGAGACATCAAGAAGTTAAGTATCTTATCTGAGGTCACATTAAATCTAGAGTTATCACTTGAGTCCAGAATCCTATACTACAAACTTGATTTGTGTGTTATTTTAAAATTGAAGTTAGCATATATGTTTAGTAAAGTGCACTAATCTTAAAGGTGCAGCTGCTTATATTTTTAACCACCATCCAGAGCAAGCTACAGAACATTTCTAGCACCCCAGAAGGTTGCCTCAAGCCCCTTTCAAGTTGATAACCTATCTTCGCCTAACGGTTTTAAATAGGTCACATATTTTGAGGAGCTATTGCCTTATATTTACTTTTAAGAGGCTTTGCCAGTGCTTCTCTTATTTTTACTGTAAAGCCTTTCACAAAAATCATGTGTCTTAGTCTTTGATGTCTCTTGCCCTTAGGAGGATTAAGAGGAAGTATCTAAAGATAACCTGTAAACACGATATTTAAAAAACCAGATATAAACATTAACTGGCTGGTTTTATATTTATTCACTTACCATTTACTGAGCATCTGCCAGGTGCCAACACTGAGCCAGTGGTGGAAATACATAGTTCCTGATCTCAGGGAGCTTATGTTCTAGTAAGGAGAAAGAGACACACAGAGATTGACAGACATATGCATTTAACTGTAAAACAAGATCATTGTTTTTTAAAGTACATGGAGAAACACAAGAGACAAAGCCCCTAAGTCTGCTTAGGGAGTCAGGGATGCTTTTACAGAAGAGGCAGCACCTAAGCTAAAATGAGTTTACCAGGAGAATGAAGGGGTGGGTACAGGTTTGGGGAGGCGGGCATTGCATTCCACACAGCAGAAACAGCGGGTGTAAAATCATGGAAGAGTAAGAGGATATGTACGTCCTTCACCCTCCTGAAGAAGGAACTGTACTGTAATTTAGTATTGCATGAGTATGTAGAATGGTGAGATGGTGGACATGATAGAGGATCAGAGGCTTCTAGGTTTTTTCACATGAGACTTGTAGTGTCTTAGAAGAATTTTGTGCAGAGGAGACGATCAGATTAGTGTTAGAAAGCTCATCTACTGGTGTTTATGAGGCATAGTTTAAGAGGAAGGTAAGACTAGAGCCAACATGGTTAATCTGTCTTTATTATGTTTGAAGAAACTGAGACACAGAGAGAAGTTAATTAACTTGTCCAAGATGATGTAGTAGTTAGTAAGCCGTAGAGCCGGGATTTAAACCTAGTCAAGCAGCCTGGTTCATATACTGAAATCTCAAATACTCTACCCTGGAAAAAGTCAGAGGCAGATGTGATGTGAAGAACATTGCTCATGGAAGGAATGGAGGAGAGGAGGAGCATGGTGGGTGAGCAGGTGTGTTGCTTTGCTGCCTGGAAGATGCTGTTACTTTCAGATTGGTTTTTGGATTTTACATTGTGTTATACTTTTTTCTTGATGGTTGTGGTATGTCTCATTTAAGCTGCCATTGTTATTAATTCACAGAAAAAAAGTCCAGCATGTTGACATAATTTTACAAAACAAGTTGCATATCAGCTGATGAATGCACGAGAAATGTTTGAGGCTTTCACAGTGGTTTTAAGGTAAGTTCAGTTACTTTTTAGACAATACTCAGTATTGTTACTACTAAACCATAATAAGTCAGGTTTTTTTGTAAGCAGTTGAACTTAACCTTAAAAACACTGTGAGAGTTTTTTTTTTTTTTTTGACCTGTAAGGGGATCGTAACCCTTGGCACAGTGTGGTCTGCACCAGGCTCAGCCAGTGAGCGCACCAGCCATCCGTATGCAGGATCTGAACCTGCAGCCTCGGCGCTACCAGCGCCACACTCTCCCAAGTGAGCCACGGGGTCGGCCCCACTGTGAGAGTTTTAAACAGTTACCCGCTGGCTGGATTTTCCTGTTATCACAAAGCCCAGTGTAAGTCATAAATCGTGAATGTTTTTCCCAGATAGTCTTTAGTAAACATCCACCATGATGTATTATGAAATATTATCATTTCATTTCAAAGATGATAAAACTGAGTTTGATAAAGATTAAGTGACTGCCACACGTTACATAAGAGTTAAAACTGGGATTATGATCCTTAAGTCCAGACTCTCCACCAACCCACACTGCTTCTGCAAGGAGAGGGGAAGTTCATATGGAAGTGCGCTTCTCTCGCAAGGGAAAAGGGGGCTGCAGTAGCAGCACAGTTAGCACCTGTGCCGTACAGTAGTGCTTTTGAAGTTCTATATGGCTGACTTAGGTCAGACCTTCAGAGAGCATTATATCTAATACTCTTAATTAATATATCTTAATACCAATTGTTTAGAAGGCATTTTAGAATTTCTAGTGCATTGCTTATTAACATTTTTAAAAAATTAAATCTGATTGCCTCTGCTGTTGTCTGTATCTAACGTCCAAGTAAGCCATGGCAATGGGAAGTCGAGCAGAAATGAAAGCACCACACCCCTCATCAGCAGTAGTCTTGCAGTAGTCTCTTCCAATGTAAGCCCTACTTTACCTCTGGTCACTTGATACAGTTGATACTATGTAGGAGAATGTTTTTAAATTAGATTATGTAGTTGGTCTAAAATGTTAGCACTAGAAGCCTTTAGATATCATCTAGTCTAGCCACCTTGAAGATCCAGGGTGATTGGTATAAGGTCATCCAGCTGCTTCCTGACAGCAAGAATAAGATCCATGTATTTCTTGATGATGATTAATCTACTAGTTTGTGTCTATTGTTCTACAGGATTTGGGTCTCTTATACTCAGAGGATGTGGGACATTGGTTTTGGTATTAGAGACTCATTATTTTAGGAAATAATAGGAACCTTTTGGGATTGGAGAGAGGAAAGTTTAGTTATTGCAGCTAATTTGTTGATTGTTTTAATAAGGCCATTGAAAACTTGGTAGATTATTTTAAAACATTAAAGAATACTGATATTGGAAGTTTATTAGTTTCTTGATTTGTGAAAGTAGAAAAGCAAAACTAAAAAACTGATACTTGAACATGTAGTAAAGTTTAATGTGGAGAATAAATATAGAGGATTTTTATGTTTGAAATTATTTTAATTTTCCAGACTGTTTAAAATATGGCCTTTCAAAATAGTTTTGTTCAAATATATGCATAAGAAAAGTCAAATATACAACATCAATTTTTAATGAACAGTAGAATAATATTTATCCTAGCTTTTAACCATCAACCTGAAGGAAAGAAGCCTAAAGATACCTTTTAAAATATTAAAAGAAGTGACTCTGAAAAGAATGCACATAATTCTTTCCTATTCTGGGTTTAATAAAATATTGTAAAATCTGAAAACACATAGTAGCTTTGTCTAATGAGTCTCAAAGCCATCTTCCTAGTTTCATAGTCACACATGTTTATGGCTTAGAAGGAGTGGGGCATTGTGGCACTGTCCTGTCCTTCAAAGAGCAGCTAAAAGGGGCATTAGATGTGTCATCCTTGGAAAGGCACTTTTCAACCAACTGATGACTCGCCTGGAGGGGCCTGGTCACCCTGCTTTTGCCCAGCTGGCTTATGTTGCTGGCAAGTAAAGCATTGTTGGGCTTGCCTCCTGCAATTTGACTTCTTCACGTGTCTTAACATCCAAGAAGCTTGAAGTAGTTTTGCTTCAGAATCATTAAGAAGTCTAGCTATAGTCTAAAAGAGAGGTGAGATTTAGGTTATTTTATGTGACTACTGGAGAATGGGGACAGGTATACCGTTGGATGAGATGGGGGTATGTCTGTGATGTTGAGCTGCTCAGGATATGTGCTGTATTATCTCAAGCTGCCTGTAGTATATTTTTAGGTATGGGTGAGAGTAACTGTTCTTGGAATAGAAAAGCCTTGCTGCACCGAGACACGATGCTGGCAGCCTCAGCGGTGTACAGAGGTAAGGGAGCTGACCACTCCTTCCACCTGTGCCTCACTGCGGAACTTGTGTGTCATGTTGATTCCTTTAACATTGCCAGCGCTTTTTCCTGTCCCATTAAGGCACCATCAGACTTCATGTCCTCCCTCTCAAAACAAGATCGTGTAGCTCTGTATCTTTTTCTAAGCAGTCCTCAATATTTCCTTACTGTTAGTCTCTCATTATTAAGAATTTTTCACATGAGGTATTCTCAGAATCCTACAAGTATCCTAGTACCCATTTCTCTTTGGAAGATGTGACTTTTATTGAGCAGGTGTTTTTTTTTTTTTCTACTTGCATTTTTTTGGACTTCAACCATTATTTGTCTTTATAGAAATGTATAGAAATGATGATGGATCAGTACCTGCCACATATCAGATCTATTACATGATAGGATGGAAATACCATGATTCACAGGTAATATTAAAACAGTTCACTTTTCTTAGTCGGTTCATGTTTGTGTTTATTTTTTGTTGTTGTTTATTAACTTAGGGTGCTCATATATATATATTTATGACAGCAATCAGGGCTGTGTATATCTGTCTCTTTCTAATATCTTTAATCTTTCTCATTATTTTCAGGCAAGACCAGCTGAAAGAGGTTCCGCAACAGTGTCATTTGGAGACCTAGGAAAAATAAGCAATCTTATGTCACAGGAGAAAAAATCACAATAAATATTTTATTCAGTGTTAATGTAGTCCAGAATTTTCATCAGAAATAGGTAGCTTTCACATCTAAAATTATTATATTTTGAAGCAAGGAGCAATCCATAAGCTATTTACTGACAGGCTTTTCAAATAATTAGAATAGCCCAATACCACATCTATATTTAGTAACCATTTCAATTTCACATTGTTTCTGTTTTCATAAGAATGCTGTTATCTAGTGATTTGGGTTTCTTATTTGTAGATTCTGCCTAAAAGCAATGAAAATATTTCCCTGAAAAATCCACAAATATGTTAACATATAAATGCCTGACTTGATGGGAAAACATTACTCATGCTGACATTTTGTACCTTTTTCTCCTTCTGGTCTTTTGTTATTTCTGTGAGAGGACCGCAGCAGTGGAAATGAGGGGAGGAACAAGTTGGTAGGTTCTTTAGAGTTCTGGCTCATCTAGAGTGAAAACAGACTTTTTGTAATGACTACTGTAAGGTACTGAAGGCAAAATTATTTGTCACACTGTCATCATCTTTGCCTTGAAGAGGAACAGAGGATTATGTAATTTCTCCAGAGCTATTCTGTAGTTTTGGACTTGAGAACATGTATCTTTATTGAATCCCTGCTCATCTCTCTTCTTAAAGCATTGGCATTCTGATCTTATTTCTTGACCGCCATGGTTTTATGCCCCACCCTACCTTAGGGGAGAAGAAAATATTTTAAAGAATTACAGAGGCAAAAATCACGTGTCAAAGTCTCTGCACAGTGATTAAATGTGCTATTTATTGTTAGGCATTTCTTTGTAATTTCAAGCCTTTAGCACTATTATCCTAATCCCCGTTTATCATACCATTGTCATCTAGTAGGGTTCAAAATTATTTGGAAACCGTCCAGCTCAGACAGCTTAGAACAGGTGAGAAGAAGATGGATGGATGATAGGCAGGAAGCAGGGACAAAGCTGGGAAGTGAAAGAGCGAGCGCTACGTCTGTTTCTCCAGTAGTGGTGACGTATGTGCTGTCCTTTTCCTTTAACCTGGGCTGGCCCTCCTCCCCCTTAGCCTGGGTCATTAGGATAGTGTTGCCTCTTTCCTCAGTCCCTCTCTTCTGCCTTCCTCCCCTCCTTCCACCGCACTAGCACCAAGCTCTTCGTGGGAAGGTTGTATCTTACCCCATGCAGAGCATGGTACTTTGCACATAGTAGACACTCAGTTCCAGTTTGAATTGAATTAAACCATCAATTAAATCATGTTTTCGTGAAAAATATGTCATTTCAAAGTCTAAGTTATAGTTAAAAACCAAGATTTTGTAGGAGAAAAAAAAATTACCATTCTTATTCTCTTCAGTTGGGAAAATCATTGATATTTGAAATTGGGATACTCTTGGAAACTTTTTTGTTTTGTTTTTACACAAAGTAAAATAAAGTACCTATGAAGTAAAATTTGGGCAAGTTTTTTATAGCTTAATTTTCAGAACTGGAAGAGAATAACAAGATCAAAGAACCCTGTTAATTAAGGTGCAAACTGATGATGGAGGAAAGGATAAATTCCAGGGTGTCTGTTTCCAAAAGGACACATGTTCATGTGCATTGATACTGGTTTTTGAAGCATGTATATGAAACCACTAAGTGGTTATTGGTGAGGAAAAGGACTGTGGGACTCTGTGCCTGTGTCAGTCATTCTGTCTGGTCCGTCAGGGGTGCAGGGGGTGGGCAAAAACTGCGAAAGAATCTTGTACTTTTCATATTTTATTTTTCTGTAAATTTTGAATTTTCTTACCAAGGATATTAGTTTTGTTTATTTAATCCCAATGGTATATGTGGATGGTGGAGTGGGGCTAGGGAGGAATCTACTCTGGGCTATCTCAAGAATAAGCTCTATTTAAAAAAAAGAAAACAATTTAATACAGCTAATTGAGGACCCTTATTGTTTAATGTGAGTGACAGTAGTGAAATTACTTACTTTAGTGTGAGTGACAATAGTAAAATTATATTTTAGTTGATACCTGCTTGAAGTGTGCTATCAAGCTTTAATTGTTTAGGACCCTCAGGTAATTAATTTTTCTGAATAGCCATGTTTTCCAAATGATTAAGAGCTCATCCTTTTAAGCAACAAAACTTAGAAAAATGTCTTGTCAAAAATCTTTCCAAAATTTATTATATTCTTAAATGGCATATGGAAAATAACCATTTCTTGATAGCCCCACAGCTATTGCCATAAACTCAAGTTATGCTGTGTTTCTTTTCCCAGACTCACTGGCCCCTAGAATGATGAGTTTGTTTTGCGTCTCTTTTGCAACGCTTTTCTTATTTGCTGTTGGTTGTCGATCTTAACAGCTTGACGAAAATGAACTTCCTTGAGTCAGTTTTTTTGCCCCTTGTGATCTACCATAAAATTAGAATTCAGGTTGGAAGGTTTTTAGGACTAGTGTATAAGATAGGAAAGAGAAACTAGATTCCGGGAGAAGTACTCTCCTTTAGAGTGAAATGCTAGAGCTTTATTGGCTCCTTTAACAGATGTTCACTGAGTTTTATGTGCTCTTAGCTGTCAGTCTAACAGGGCTTCTGCGTGTGCACACTGTGACATATTTCGACTGCTAGGAGATTTGGGATTATTTCTTGGTTCTTAGCAGTATTCCAGGTTGTTGGCCTGGAGAACTCCAGAGATGGCAGTATATGTTAAAGTTTATAAAACAAAGATTGTTTGCTTTGTGGAGAGAATTTCTATAGGATTTGTTGAGATGGAAGTTACCCCATATATATCAAGTATATGATATGATTATAAAAAGTTATACTCACAGAAGTAACTCATGAAGTATCTATGAAGTTTTATGTTATTTTTCAAACCCTTTTAGTACCACTTTCTTCCACTAGGTGGAAACAATTACAATATGGCCTATCTTGAAGACATGCAGTTTTTATATTGATTATATATCCCTTAAGCAGGAATGGAATAAAAGTATTTTACTATGGATTAGCTTCCATTTAGGAAAGAAATGAATATTAATAGATATTTGGAAAAAAATATGCTTGGGGAAGTGATTAATATTTTATTCCTTCATAAGTTACCATTAGCCTCTCTTGCCTAAAAAGAAATGTTTTGAACTTTTTGGGGGGAGGGGAGGAGTTGTTGTTAATAATGTGAAGTTTATCTTTAGGAGACATCATAAGTGGACCTGCCCTTCCGGAAATTGGTATATTTTAGTTCTCTGCCTGGATATTTGACAGATCATTTATATTGCTGGTTTAATAAACATTAATTTGAAAGTAATATCAGGTGCAGTGGGTGCTGGTAAATTATTGTTAACAAATAGGGAAATAATGCTTTGCCATCTGTGGTGGTTTTAAAATCTGTCCACAGATTCTTTGATATGCTTGTCTTTAAGACATGGAGCTTTATTCCCCTCCCTTTCAGTGCAGGCTGAATTTAGTGGCTCCGTTCCAACAAGTGGAATATGGAAGTGTTAGTGTGTTACTCCTGAGTCTAGGTAATAAAAGGGGTTGCTTTCTCTTTGCTCTCTCTTGGATCATTCTCTCCGGGGGAAAGTCAGCTGCCATATGTGAGGCCACTCATACAGCTCTATGGAAAGGACCTAGAGGTGAGGAACATAGGCCTCCTGCCAAAAGCCACATGAGGGCGCCATCATGGAAGCAGATCCTTTAGTCCCAGTGAAACTTCTAGATGACTGCAGTCCCAGCCATTGTTTTGACCATAACCTCATGAGAAACCCTGAGCCGGAACCACTCAGCAAAGCCCCTCCCAAATTTACCCACAGAAGCTGAGATAATGTTTGTTGTTTTAGCCACTGTCTTTTTTTTTTTTTTTGTCTTTTTCGTGACCGGTAAGGGGATCACAACCCTTGGCTTGGTGTCACCCCCACCTCACTCAGCCAGTGAGTGCACCGGCCATTCCTATATAGGATCAGAACCCGCGGCGGGAGCATTGCTGCGCTCCCAGCGCTGCACTCTCCCAAGTGCGCCACGGAGTCTGTGTCTTAGAGTAACCACCGCGCTCAGCCAGTGAGTGCACCGGCCATTCCTATATAGGATCAGAACCCGCGGCGGGAGCATTGCTGCGCTCCCAGCGCTGCACTCTCCCAAGTGCGCCACGGAGTCTGTGTCTTAGAGTAATTTGTTACATAACAAAAGATAACTAATACACTTGCTTTTGGAAAAGTTGGATGCCCTCGGTATGCTGAATTGTTAATTTAAGTGTAAAACACTGCCTGTTTATTTAAAGTTAGCTAAAATTAACATAACATTTGTTTTTATAACATCAGGCCTGAGATACTCTTGCCTGGAGGTTTGATTCCATGTCATCTCAAAGTAGAACTAATCTTCCAAGGTACATTTACTAGGCCTCAAATGTCATTTCCTAGGAATATTAAGAGCAATTTTCTGGAAGTCTGACTGGGGCTAGTTCCAAAATGAACCAGAGAATTCGGGAAGACTCTAACCTTGAGAATTCAGTGACTATGTAACTCCAAGTGGGTTCCTCAAGTTCCCTTCTGCCTTGGCTGTTGAGTTGCTGACAGCTCCTTATCAGGATGGACTGTTAACACTGCATACTTGTTACCAGGCTCTTGAGTGAGCACAATGCTGCAGAAATAGGAAGGGCTTTGTAAAAGCCAGACTTGAGGGCCGGTTGTCCCGTGGCTCACTTGGGAGAGTGTGGTGCTTATAACACCAAGGCCACAGGTTTGGATCCCTATATAGGGATGGCTGTTTAGCTCACTTGGGAGAGCATGGTGCTGACAACCCCAAGTCAAGGGCTAAGATCCCCTTACCATCATCTTTAAAAAAAAAAAAAAGCCAGACTTGGTCCTGTCTTGCTAGCCATTGGCAAAACCAGGCAAAGGTAAACTGCCTGTACTTTCAAAGCAGCCAGTATAAACCAGCCAGTCTCCAGATTCCTCACACAGGACTCTAGTGTGTGTTCAGGATGTCCGTTCCTAGTTTCAATCAGAGCCAGCCTGGCAGAAGAATAATCAGGAGCAATTACCAGGTCTAAATGTTAGTAATCTGTGCTTTGATTATGAATGGCAGGCTAGGGAGAGAATTTCAAAGGACAACTTGCCAGCCTGTGCTACAAAAGAGTATGGAAATAGAGGAAAAGGCAGGGACTGGGAGTCAGGCGGGCTGGATTTATAGTCCTGGCCCTCAAAGTTAACTTTGATTTTATCTAAGGATAAGGTTTAGAAGGAAGCACAGTGTGATTTGCCTCAGTCCCCTAATCTTAAAAGTGGACCAAAATGCATTTTTATTTTGAGTTTCAGGGCAGCAAAGGAGAGCTCCAAACCCTTACATATTCAGCACGGATGGCCTTCTACATTTTCCATAGGTGACATTTTCTCATAGTCATCCAGCATGTAGCATTTGGGAAGTGTTCCCAAATTTTGTAGAAAGTTTCCAGTTATCTGTCCAGGTGACGAGGTCTTGGCTACAAGTCACACTAAAACAAGAAATGGTCAGGTGGCAATACTCTGGAAGACCAAATAAAGGAATAGATATGAAAATACTGCAGTGTCTAACCAAGTCAGGTTGTCTGCATGATTTCTTGAGAAGCCAGCTGAACACTCATTGTTCTCAAAGGCAGTTTCATTTAACCTGGGTGTAACAGGTTGGTGAAACCCCCCTTTTAAAGCTCCACGTATTATGCTCTGGCCAGATATGCATTCTCAATTCTCATTTCACCCTCCCAATTCCCTATGAGGTAGATACTAGTACCATTGTACCCACTTTTCAGATGAGGAAACAAGTTTTGAGAGGTTGTGACTTCTCCAAGGTCACATAAATGGCAGAGCCAATATTTGATTTCAGTCTTATATGTGACAGAGGTAGTGCAACTACGCTACCTTCTTTTGGAGGTCAAAACCATAAGAGCTACTATGAGCTACTAGCCTTTCTCTCCATGTCCTCCCTCCCACTGTAGTGGATTGAATTATGTCCCCCCGAAACTCATTGAAGCTTGAACTGTATCCCCCACGGTTATGTATTAGAAACTTAGCCCCCACTATGACTGTTAAGAGGGCGGGAAATCCTATTATGGTAATTGAAAGGTGGAGCCTTGAAGAGGTGATTGGATTGTAGGACCATGCAATAGTGGATGGATTAAAAATGGTGGTCAGAGGTGTGGTTCTGAGGGCTTTAAAAGAACAGTCTGTCTCTCTGCTCTCTCTGCTTCCACCATCTTGCAATGTAAGATCCCTGGGTCACTGTTGTCACCGCCAGATGGACTTTGGACTTCCCAGCCTCAGAAACTGTAAGGAATAAATTTCATTTCTTTTATAAATCACCCAGTTCCATGTATTGTTATAAGCAACACAAATGGACTAATACACCCACCATACCCTTGTACACCCCACCAAGCACCAAGAGTATTAGAGCTAGTCAGTTGATTCCATCCACTCTCCCCAACACACACTCAACCCTGTCCTGGAATC